CTCTATACTATCTTGTTCTGCGTACCAAACACTTTGCTCTCAATGTTAACATTTTGGTTGCACTAGTACGTTTTTTAGATAACAATCAGACCTTTAAAAATTCATTAAATCTTCAATAAAAACCAATACTGCCGTAATGCATTCGACTTACGAATTCCTTCAATAAACTTCTCCAGAAAAACTTGATTAAAACTTTTCGTGTGCCACTACACTTGAAAGAAACTAATTTAGCCCAGTAATGTATTGGACGCTAGATCCTATACTGCTATTTGCCGTTCAATAGAATTTACTCTCGGTCTTTTTCATAGCGATTCCGTTCACAATACAAATCTATCAAGTGCAATCTGAAGAGAGAATGGGCAGTTGCCAGCCGGCGATTGGCATATGAAAAGTTTCGATAAGCTCTAGAATGTTGTAATGAATGATGTTGAAAGTTATTTCTATTTAATCACGTCGAAGTCGGTTCTGTGGGAGATCGAATGTGTTATTATTGGAACGTGTTATTAATCGGATTTTTGATATAGTACAGGAAAGGAAACCGATGATCAACTGAAATAATTTCGATGAAGGAAGCATTGCAAGCATTTTACTGTTAATTTGTTGATCTAGAAAAATTGTGATAGTTTCATCTCTCGGCACATCACTGGATTTCATCTGATAATAATAATGATAATTTACGGAAGCTGAAAAGCATTATTCTGGTTAACCGTTAGTTCGAAAAAAGTTGATAATGATCGAATAATTTCAAGAGTTTTCAAATCTCCATCACTTTTTGAATAGGGGGAATTATTGTTTCTATTCGTTTTCTATTAAAAATCCAGTTGCATTCCTTTACGGCAGGGTTTTAGATACATTAGGTGCTTTGAGAGTGATTAATATTTCAGACACATATTTTTGGCTTTCTACTTCTCTATTACTATTTTTTATTTGTTTCATGTTATTTTGGAAAGTCCAATTCGATAAAACGAACACCAGTAAATATTAGTACCTTATAATAACAAATACCAATTATAACAGTATTATAATTATTTTAAACAATTAGTTTGGCAGAATGTTATTCTAAAAATACCACTCTCATCCTGAGCGAACTATCCTGAGGGTCTTCAGGTCATCACTGATCACCAATGAAGCATTTTTGCTAAAATCTTGAATAGGCCCACTTTCAAAAATATTGAATGGGCTTATGAGAGATCCCTGAGGTACATCTGATGATATACGTTTTTTACGTATTGGATTCTACCGACAAATAACTGTTAATGAATCTCAATCTAGTTTGTCCAAGTGCTTCAATCTTAGAAACTTCTAACAAATAATTGTTGTCACCTATTTCAAATGCGCTCCAAAACTATCTATTTACAGGGTGTATCTGGAGCTGTTGGGTGAAACAAATTTTTCAAATGTTCAAGTTATTTTCGTGTAGAAATCGATCATCTTTCGAATCCATTTTCAATAAAAATCGCAATAATTTGAAAGCATTAAACTTGGATAATCGATTCAAAACAGGTTTTGCATAATCAAGAAAAAGTCAGACGCTGTACCGACAATCTCATATATCTCGTGACGTCACACTGTCTTTCGAAAAATTTCGGGAAACGCGCCGCAGTTAACGGTAAATGCTATTGATTTTAAATTTCCATCGTTGTATTCTGGATGCATAGCATTATCAAATATATAAAGAAGCACAAAATTAGATATAACTGAAAGACCCTATTGACGTTTTTCGCTCCAATTTACTAAACGGATTAATATATGATAAATGCTGTTGAAACTCAAGTTCACTGAAAGTGTATACTTCGAATCAATTCCATTACTCAACTTTTTCTTCCTTTCTATCAGAGCTTAGAGTTAATCTGAATTCCCGGAGCCATCAAAACCAGGAAACATAAATCTTCCATTGATATATTTCTATCAATTGCGTGAGCTCAACGAAATTTATCCTATTTCCTTTTCGTATCAAAGGACTCGATCTTCTTCCGCTTTCCGGTCAATACGGATCAAAGAAACGTTCAGCAAACGATAGATATCTCTTTCGATGACGATCAAGTTACAAAAGTGCCTTGAAAAAGGTCCAAGGAAACAGATTGTATTTCTCTCAGTTTGATGTACCTACAAATTTTGATGCTTATTTTCATTATATGATTATTTTTTGATAGTGAATCTAGTGTCACATATTCGTATAAATACATGAAAATATATCAATTCTCAAGTATTCAGAAAATATTTTCACCAGGTTCATCAAGAACTAATATGCAAGAAATGTTTCAAAACTCATCTTTGTGTTTTTTTCAATATTTTCCACATTTCGATGTTACTTTTCCTGAGTATATTTGCTATACGTTCAATAATTGTATAAATATATCATTACATCAGTTGAGTGAGCAAATAGTAAAAGTCGAGTAAAAGGTAGAATTATTTTGACGTGTTCAATTATTACATTTTCTTGAGTAATTAATTTTTAATGATTCGAAACATCTATCTGAACTGCAACATTTTAAAATAATAGTTCAACAAATTTATTTTCTCGAAATTCGAACTCGATTTTTTTTTTCTGTATGCGATATGTCCTCACCAAATGAATAATGAACAAGTTTTGAGACAGTATCTCGTGTTTTATTCAATATTTAGATTCCAAAACATATATAAAAAATATTTTTTTTGGTCATCAGTATATGTTGGATTGATGAAACATATGAAAAGACATACTTCGTCTCAGCAGTTGTCAATGTTCGACAGATATTCATTTTCGCCTGCTGACCCAAAAGATCACTCGCCAAAAGTAATCAGCTTCGAATAGAGCCATTCATTTCAAACCTAACCTAACCTCAGCTACGTAAATAAAGGAATAATTAAAAATACTAGAAAAGATACTGCCAAATCAACACAACCAACTTCAAAACGCACGTGTAGTTAGTATTAATAAAATAAAAACCACTCCTTGGTCATCAAATGATAGTCTATGAACAATTTCCTCATCTATGAATGTATCATGATTGTCAATTAAATATCACAAAAAGCAAATGATAAAATAGTATGTGTCACAGGAGCCATGAGAACGACTCCAACTGCAGCACTTGAGGTCCTACTCGGACTTACACCATTGCACATCTACATACAAAGAGAAGCTCGACTGGTGACACACAGGTTAATGCAGGGGCAAACCCCAATCAACCAGTCACACGGTGCAGAATACTCGAAACTGTACAATGAACTGAAGGCAGATCCAATACTAGGAATGCCCGTGGATAACACAGTTCCGCACCATCGGTAAAAGCGGAATAAATTGGGTATGAAGATGGCTCAATGACCCAGGAAGGAGTGGGAGCCGGTATATATTAAGCCAGAGCAAAGACGAGAATCGCACTCACCCTTGGACATAATGCAACTGTGTTCCAGGCATAAGTAGCGGCCGTCGAACACTGTATAGGGGAAATAAACAGGCATAAGGTCACAAATAAAACCATTGCCATTTTCTCCGACAGCCAGGCGGCATTTCCATTCTTCTCAAGACTAGTGGGAAACTGTCTAAGCGCACTCAAGGAGCTAAGTACGCAAAATAGGGTCACTCTAGCTTAGGTACTCGGGCATGAGGGTCACAGGGCAATGAGGAGGCCGGGGTTCTAGTCCTTGAAGGCGCACCCAAGGCTATGGTCGGCCCAGAACTCTTCTGCGGGGTAGCAGAAGCATGTATAAAGACATCCATAAAATCATGTATGCAAGTCGAATCGATAGATTGGTGGAATAAGCTCCCAGGAATGAGGAAAGCAAAAGAGTTCATAAAGAAAACCTTGCCCAGATTCACGGAAGACCTGCTAACCCACAACTGTAAGGTTGTAAGGGTAATGGTGAGTCTATTAAAGGGACTTAGCCCCGTTAGAGGAAGAGGAAGAGAAGAGGAAGAAACCGCTTTGCTTGTGCTTTGTGAATGCGAAGCGATATCCAGGCTGAGACATGTAATATGCGGGGAAGAGAAACCAGAGGCCGCCAGCTATATGAATGGGTCAGTATCAAGGAGTCTCATTAAAGAGAGCAAGCTAGAAAATGAGATCTAACAACCAAGGAGCATCACAATAGATCAGAAAAGGTCGCAGTGAATCAAGCCATGGGCTAGCTTTCCGACAATATAATCCAATCTAACATGCTACATATATCTTGTTTATCTTCTTAATGTTCTCCGTACTATTCTTGCATTTTCAGGCATGATTTATTTCATCTAATTTATTTCCTCTTGTTCTCTCTATTGAACCTCATTATCTTTACTTTTTACATCAACACCTCCTACCATAACTTCAGAAAACTGATTTTGTTAAGACATTAGCTACTCCAGAGGTTCCAATGGAATGTTTATCTCCTCTTCAATATTTTATACTAAACCAATATGTTTGAACGTTGTGGTCAAGAAGGCACAGAAAGTAAAGGCCGGCTATGGACGTAATCGAATGAAAGTGCTTCATACGCTAGATAAAAAGAAATATGTGGGAGTACTTTTTTTCGACTCATCGAAAGCATTCGATATTATTATCCTGAAGACAATTGAAAGTGAATTGTATTTCGTTGGTTTTCGTGGAAATTTCTTGCCGTGGCTGATGCCATTCATGTACTTCAGAAAAGTAAAAATCGTTAGTAAAAATCGAAGAGCATAAATCTGAATATTATGAGATGGATCTGGGAGTTCCTCAGGAATCGATTCTGGGTCCCCTTATGCTTTTGTTATTCATAAACGATCATCCTGACCATATCAGTTCAGATTCTCTAGTTCTCTATGCAATCAAAAAAAGCACTTACGTCTTCTTGTGAGCATATTCGGCTTATGCCGGGACTCGACATAAATCCGTTTCTTTCGAGATACCCGATCTACAGGCATATTGGTCTCGAAGCATTGGTCTGGTAGCCAGTGCCATGTCCCTGATGTTCCTGTCGGTAGTTTTTCTGATGCCTTCAATTCCTGTTACACTATTTGACCAATTTTCAACTCCAAGACTCACTTATTTCCTCTTTTCCAGGTCAATATCGATCACCTCGTATCACAGAGCACCCATCAGACATAATCGTAGCGAAAAATGAGCCCGTGACGCTCAATTGCAAAGCGGAGGGACGTCCAGAGCCTGCCATAGAATGGTACAAGGACGGCGAACTTGTGAAAACGTCTCCCACCGACAACAAATCCCACCGAGTGCTACTGCCGGCAGGATCTCTCTTCTTCCTGAGGACGATGAACAGCAAAAAGGAGCAGGATGCAGGAGTGTACTGGTGCGTCGCCAGGAACGTGGCAGGAACGGCTACCAGCAGGAATGCGACGTTGCAAGTTGCTGGTGAGTTTTTGAAATTTAGCTATTTATAGATCAGGGCAATAGCCTGTTAGGAAGGCAAAAAATTGAAAAAATTACTAATAGCATAGACCACTTTAGACNAACATTGAATTATATTAAAAAAAAAGTACTTTGAAAACTTCTTTCAGTTTGTATCAGCTCCATGAGTGCCCCATCTTGTAATATTACCTAGGAAGGTGCTGATGTCCACCAATGAGGATGACGGTGTTCCATGAAAGTGAAATTTTATATCTTAACTTTTTCACGCATTACAGAGTACCATTCCTATGAATTATATCTGGATTCAATTCCATACGAAATGTTTGTTGTACAAACAAAACTGAATGGGTAAAAAGATATTTTCGTACAATCTGATATTCATGGAAAATTAGCTGATTTTAAATTACTTTTTTTTCGTGTAATTCAATTTCCTTATAAAAGTAATTGTTTCAGGGGAGATGTTTTCCTCAGTTCGTATCTGAAAGTTACTTCCATGTATGATCTTTGTGAAGAGTTTATTTTGACCTTAATTGCGTTCTTTTTCCTTTCAATTCCTTCAATTCAATTCCTTTCCACAATTTTTGTACGAAAATCAAGAAGAAGAAAACCAACAAATATGAAAAATTTGATGCTGAACAATGAAATGTACCTTTCTTAACAAATATCATGACTATTAGAAACGTCCCATTACAAAACTGCAAATTTGTCTTATTTTTCGAATATACTCATTTTTATGTAAAAAAATGTATTGTAGTGGTACTTAAGAAAGGAATATATCGAACATAAATGAAATTATGGTTCGATGACTTTGCTTGCACCGACCTCAAAAAAATTGTAGGCTCCTAATTTGTTTTCTACCTCCTTTTTATTCTATTTTGTTGATCTATTTCGTTTGATTTCATACTTTCAGTATGAAATGATTTTTTCTAAAATATATTTCAGTTTTTATCGATGATAAAAATGAAATCACAACCTTTCTGCAGTGCATATTCAATAGGGATTTGGATTTTTTTTATAAAATATCTGGCCAATATCGCATCCTTTCACAATTGCATTGTGTTGGAAGACGACTCACACATGCACCAGAGGTCACACTGTATGAGATACGAACACACATTATCACTGTAAGAGATGATTTAACGACTTTGAAGTGGTACTCAAGTGTGCGGAGGTATGGCTGATGCATTGATAGGGACTAATCGATAAAATACCTCACATTTATCACTATCTGTCAGAACATGATCGAGGAGTTTGCCAGCACAATCCACGTTTATCGGCCATTGTAAGACTGTTATAATGATGAATATGGAGGAGCGGAAAGATTGAAAATAACAATTTTCGTTTCCATTCGAATGCAGTCACGCAAGAAAAGTTTGTTTGATGTATTGTTGGTGGATCGATAGACTATTACAGTAAAAATAAGAAACCAGAAAATTTCACGAAAAATAAACTGATGGCACTCGTACCTTCAATGAAAGTAAAATTTTCATTGAAAAGAATGTTGAGATATATTTGCCTCGGATAATTCAAGAATTACTTGTTTGATAATTGTACTATGCTTATACAATATCTAAAACAATAGTACAGCGGGAAGCAGATATACAGGGTGTTTCCTAACTACGATATGAAACTTTAGAAGATGATTCGTTAGGTCGTTTTAAGAAAAACATTCCTATGAACATATGTCTACAGTTTTGTATATAGAAATATTTTTCAGCAGCTTGACTGCATTAACCCTTCTCGATTTCATATAATTTCTAGAAACATGTGGATTCGTTTTCCGATGGCATTCCAGGTTAGCTTCCCAAATTTCTGCTCCGGCAGTTGTCGGTTGATTGGTCAAACCACCTACCATAACTTCAGAAAACTGATTTTGTTAAGACATTAGCTACTCCAGAGGTTCCAATGGAATGTTTATCTCCTCTTCAATATTTTATACTAATCCAATATGTCTGAACGTCGTGGTCCAGAAGGCACAGAAAGTAAAGGCCGGCTATGGACGTGGAAAATAGAAGGTTTAGCTCTTACACAATAGCAAAGATGTCAAAGGACATTGCTGTAAACTATTTGTTATATTTTTCAATTATTTCTATTATCTAGAGGGCAGTTGTGAAGAATGAATGATTTATTTCAAAAGTCAATGACATAATGAATGAATAAGAAAATTTCTTTCGATTATAATTCACCAATAAATTGCTCCTGTTTCTCTTCTGCTACTTCGTAGCTGTCTGACTATCATGATATATCTAATGAGTGCTGTCATTACCAGGTGTTATATTAAGGACATTGTATAATAGTTTGATGCACCAGTTACTGATGAAGCTACACTATAATTATTATCATTGATACATGTGATATTATTGATACAGTTGTGGAATTGGCCGCCGTGGTAGTGCGCCCGACTCACGATCGGAAGGCCGTTCGATTCTCGCCTCGACCAGATAATTTTCTGGAGAGAATTTATCTGGTTGAAGCTGGAATGATTCTGCAACCGTGTTAGGAATCACACGTTAAAAGGTAAGACCACGTTAGTCCTTAGTTCGCACAAGTTTCTCAATTTCTGAGAGTTGTCGTTCGTATGGGAGCGACAGCTGATTAACGGAAAAACAGATTTTAAACATATGTAAGATTAAATTTGCTGTAACACTATACGAGGGTGGTTCCAGAATTACCCGGCACAACAAAGAAAACAAAAATTCTGGAAAAAATATTATTTATTTTTCAACATAATCTCTTTGCAGCCCTACACACTTTTCCCAGCGACGTTCATCAAGTTCCATCCCATTTTTATTTTAACATGGTTTTATTAGCTTCACCTGTATGTATGTATGTTCGTTTGTTTGTAACTCACAAGCTCGGGATATATATTTGACAGAATTATCGACATTATTGCTTGATCTATTCGCGGGCAGATGGCGCTATACGTAACCTCCTTGTTACAATTCGATTTTTTTCATTTGTAAAAAATCGCGCCTGCTGCCTCATTTGTAACCCTCCTTTGCGCGCCTGCTGCGCTGAATTTTCAGGCTTCCTCTCCGGAATCGGAAAATATCAATGGTTGTTTTTCTAAACAATATATGGCTGATTTATCTCAAAGTTTAGATAAAATAAACTTAATAATAATACACTAAAGTGAGACAAAGCGAAAACCATATGAGCAAGGCATAACATGAATATATTATCTATCCAGAAGACTTCAGATGTATTTTCCTTGAATTATTCTTAGATTTGAAAGTTTTGTATCTTTCATAAATATAATTTGGCTTTTTGTAAATGAGGAATTCATGTGTATTGACTGACAGGTTTTAGCAATTGGTAACCAACCTGATTCCTCGAACTTGGGGGATAAAGTTCGAATTTTCTGACACCATAAGAAAGACGAATACAATTGTTTTGTATTTTTTGTAAGCGATTCACATCAGTTTATATCAAAGCAGGCCCGTAGATTATATCGCAATATGCTAATCTAGACAATATGAGGGTTTCGCAAAGTTTCAACTTCAATTTGGAAGTCATAATATCTCTACTTTGATAGAGTTGACGTAAGATACTGTACGAGCTACGACAAAGTGAATTTATATGTTTGTGAAATCTCAGATCAGCATCTAGCCACAAACCCAAGTTCTTGTTTTCTGTAATTATTTGTACTAAGTCTTGTCCAAGTTGGATTTCAATTCTTCCTTCAATTTCCCACCGTTTGTGTTTCGGGCCAAAAAGTATCAGCTGAGATTTTTTAGAATTTGATTTCAGGTTATGAGCTATCAAAAAATCAAGTAACTTTTGTAGGTCGCTGTTAATTTTTTCCATTGCCACCTGCCAGTTACTTGGAGGAAATCGATAATATAAGTGAGCGTCATCTGCATAATGATGAACTGTGCAATGATCAATCATTTTATGGAAGTCAGATATGTATACAGAGAAAAGAAGGACCAAGGATAGAGCCCTGAGGTACTCCATTGTCAACAGGTGAAGCACTAGTACACTTTCCATCCAGATATACTGACTGAGTCCGATTTCTGAGGTAACTTTTCAATAGATCTACAGTCCCTTCACTAAATCCAAGAAATGACATTTTCCTACACAGAATATTGTGGTCTAATGTATCGAATGCTTTATAGTAGTCCAAGAGTACCATCTCAGTTACTTCATTATTATCAGTTGCTTTGAATAAATCTTGGGTGATGTTGACAAGAGCGGTGGTGGTGCTATAGAATGTACGAAATCTTGATTGAACATTTGATATTAAATTATTATTGTATACAAAAGTATCAATTTGATGACTTGAAGGGGTTATATTTTTAGGAGTGATATGATTCTCTCATCCCCTTTTTTTGTATCAGATGGAGTAGTAGAAAGCCAAAAACTTTCTTTCCCAAAAATATCAATTTGACCTTTCAGATTCCGGTCGAACACCTCAAATAGGATAGGCAGTTTGCTAATTGGCCTCAAATGAGATAATTCAGTTGGATTTTCACATTTTGGCAAAGGGAGTACAATTGCATTTTTCGATGCAGAAGGAAAATGATTTGTTTCTATAGAGGAATTGAATATGTGTGTTATGTGATTGATAAGATAATTTTCAATATACTTCAACTAATGAGAAAAATGCTGTCAGATCCAGCACAGTTACTTTTCATATCACTGATGTATTGTTGAATCTGGAGTGGTTTCACTCTGCGACCATTATAGGTCTGAGTATATTTTTCAATGAGTGTTTCATGATGATCAGATTTTGCAGGATGAATAATATTTGTGAAGTGGGAGTTTATTTGACTCAGAACTGATAAATCCACGGAAAGGTTAGGGCTGTGTTCAAAATTTCAAGTTTTCTTAGAGTACCCCAGATCAAACTGTAATTTCCATTTCTCGAAACAAATTCTAAATAGGCTTTTTTTTCACGTCGGATTGCTCCGGTGGTATAATTACAGAGTTCCTTATAGTTCGTCCAGTCTCTATGAGCTTTATCTCTTAGTTTAATAATTTCCTTGATGTTGAAGGTAAGC